TCATTCTAATATCTTTTGGTGCCAAAGAAACATTTCCTATTATTAGCAATATTTAAAAGAGTTATGCTGCTTAATATTTTTGTGGCATTTATTTTGTAACACTTAACACTTTTAATCAGTTTAATGAATCCTAGATTAATAAAAGTAATGATTTAAAAAAAAAAAAAAAAAAATCTTACTGACTCAAAACTTTCAAACTGTAATGTATGTGTGCATAATGAAACAGTAACACATTTCCATGGCACAGTTTACACACTTTCTGTACTCATTTAACTGCAGCTGACACACAGCAACACTGACAGGATTGACAGCATCTCTTATATTCCAATACGTCACTGCTCTCTCTCTCATCTAGCACCACACATGCACTCTATCTCTCTGCATTCCTTCCTAACCTCTACGTCCTCCCACTCTCCCTTTCAACCTTACTCCTTTTCTCTCTCTCTCCCTCCCTCATTTCCCTTCTCTTCTCGTTCTATCAGACTGGAAGAGTCATCTCCCTTTCCTCCATCTGTCAGCACACCATCCCCTGTGTTTCCCATCTGTGTCAGGCAGGGAGACAGAGTTGCATTCACCGGGGGCCAAGATGCTCAAAGTCATCAAGTACATCTCTCTCTCTCTCTCTTGCTATCTTCACACAGATCACAGGTGACATAAACAACAAGCTGTTTGATTTCCTAATTACTGCCAGTGTTTTAAAGTCAGAAGTGATAATCATTTTGTAGTGATATGAAAGTCATTTATTTCTGTACGTTTTTTCTCAAAAAGCCTACACTGTCTCACATTATACTGGTGCGTGTGAATGAATCGAGTTTGTGTTTGTGTGTGTGTGTGTGTGTGTGTGTGTGTCACTAGACTGCAGCAGTCCAGGTCACAATGTCACAGTGTGAGGTTAAAGTTCAATGACAGCTGGCTTGCTGTAGCTCATGACTATTTGGGAACAGTGTGAAATTGCATCAGGAGAACACTAAAACACTAAATCAATTCTCTAACACTCCCTCTACTCTAGAATTGAGTGCTATTTGTAAAATTACCTGGAAGCCACTATAGCCAGTGTTTTAACACAACTACAAATGTTTTATTGGCAGGAATTTTCAAACTTTTCGATGCTATGTACTCTCCCTAATATGATGATCCCCTTATGAGGGATTCCTTTCCACACATATAAAAGTGGCTATAGATATTTTAATATATGAAGACCTATGTTTAAAAAATATTGGGCATAGGCCTATTCAGTTTGTATTTCTAACTGCTAAAAACAGAGCTGTCAATAGAATAAAAACACTTCCATTTAAGTGTATTGGCCTGTAAAATGTTTTAATATTCTTGAAGTTGTCAGGATTCTGGACTGTCTGTGTCATGTTTTGCCCGTTTCTGTTCCTGTTTGTCCTTATTTGGTCATGTTCCTGTCCTCATTTAGTTTGATTATTAGTTGATTCCCCGTACCTGTCTATCCCTTGTCAAGTCTAGTATATAATGTGTAGTTTGCCTCATGTTTCTTTGTCGAGTCTATTATGTTGTGTTTGTGTGTTTTCTCCAGTTCCCTGTGTTTTTGGATTTATTAAAGACTATTTCGATTATCCACGGCTCCGTGTTACTTTGGCAGCGATCGTGACAGAAGACCCGACCAAAACAGTTACCTCCGTGTGCCCCCTCCATTTTTGTTTCTCGTTTTACCCAGTGTCTTTTTGTTTCCGTTGTGTTCTCCCCATGGATCCCCTTGCCCGCCCTGAGTACCTCCTCCTCCTGCTGGAGCAGGGGGAGCGTTCGCTCGAGGACCATACCAGACTGTTTCTGGCCATCTCAGACGGCCAAGCGTTCCCAGCATTCGCTCGAGGATCATACCAGACTGTTTCTGGCTGTCGCCGAACTCACCACCTAACTGGATGACGCGCTCTGCGCGTTCTATGACGCAAGCCTGAACCCCGCGTGCAGAGCACCGTCGTCCGAAGATGGTCTTCGAGCGGATCTCGCCGAGTACCTCCTCCGCATGGAGCGACAGAGCAATGAATCGCTGCGGAGCCGAAGCTGCAAATGACGTCAGTCAAGGTGCGAGAGCCGGCAACAAAGCCCGCCACAAGGTAGAATGCTGTGGACCGAGAGAGAGCGGAGTGGAGCTTCGCCCACTGCACCACGGCTGAGGGTGAGCTGATTATACATCTGGGACTACTGGACTTCGAGGAGAACCTCATAGACTGGGAAACAGAGCTGGAACCCGACTTGACCCCTCTCCTCTCTCTTTCGTCCCCGCTGGTCCCGTCCAGCCCTGAGTGGGCTCCTGTTTCCCAGTACAGTAAAGAGAGGGCTCCAGTCCCCGAGTTTAGCCCAGAGAAAGTTCCTGTTCCCATGTCTAGTCCAGAGAAGGCTCCTGTTCCCATGTCCAGCCCTGAGAGGGCTCCTGGTCCCAAATTAAGCCCGGAGGCTCACAAATGCCCGTCCACCCACCTGCTGCTGCCTCCTCCACCGCTGTCGTCTGGCAGCCCCTCTGCTCGCCCTCAGCCCACCATCAGCATGGTGCGAGCTCCGCGGGACTGCCATCCTCCAGCGTCGCCGTGGCTGGAGTTTCCCTTGACTCTGCCTCCAGTCTCTAAGCCCCGGACTCCGCCTCCGCCTCCACCCGTCGGCTCCACCATGTCTCCTAGCTCCCTCCTCTCCGCTGTGGCCCAGCAGTCCACTAGCTCCGCCGGGCTCCCTCGTCCCTCCGGCTCCGCCTTGGTCTGGCATCGACCATCCTGCGCCTCGGGACTCCACTCCTCCGGCTGCGCCTCATCCCTTCGTCCCTCCGGCTCCGTCATCCCTTCGGCTCCTCCTCAGTCCTCTGTCGTTCCGGCTCCACTGCGGCCTTTCGGATCCACGCCTCCGTGTCAGTCGCCGGCGACATCTGCTCTGCTTTGGCCCTCCAGATCCTCCCCATCGCCCTGGCTCTTCGGCTCTCCGTCTCCACCTCGGGCTCCTCCGCCACCTGCTCCGCCGCCGTTGGTCGGCCCCCTGGAGTCGGCGGCCATTCCTCCATGGCTCCTCCCTCCGTCGGCTCCACCGTGGGTCGCTGTCATGGCTGTGGCCTGGGTCCTGCTTGGCCCCTCCTGTCTCCTCCCTCCTTCATCACCTCCCTGGACTCTGTCTGCCGGCCCCCTCCCGGGAGTTCGTCCTGCTTCTGAGCCGCCTCCCCATGTAGTTTCTACGGCACAGACACGGCTCCGTGTTCCTTCCGGCAGCGAACGTGACAGAAGTCTGTTATGATCAGCAAGGCTGCATTTTTTTTTTGTTCCGTAAAAATCATATCATTACAATTTAAAATAACTGTCTTCTATTTTAATATATTTCAAAATGTAATTTAATCCTGCTGTGAAGCTGTTTTTTCAGTAGCTATTACTTCAGTCTTCAGTGTCAAATGATCCTTCAGAATTGTTAATGTTGAAAACAGTTGTGCCACTTAATATTTTTGTGAAAACCATGATACATTTTTTTCTTTGAATAGAAAGTTCAAAAGAACAGCATTTATTTGGATTAGATTTTTTTTTGTAACAATGTCTTTAATGTCATGTTTAATCAATTTAATGCATCTTTTTTATAAAAGTATTCATTTTCTAAAAAGAAAATGACTCCAAACATTTAAACAGTAGTTTATATAATATTTAAAAAAATTATAATAAAACTTGATCCACGCAGTCTTTAGAAATTTGATTGAAATCATAATAATGTCAAATGCAGTGCATGTGCTAAATTGTGTTAATCATATTTAATTCATTTCAAAAGTTAGCAAGTTAACTATTACAGCCCTAAAAAATATTATTTGTTTTTGTAAGATAATCTTTTTTCTCTTAAAATTTCTGTGGATCATCTTGTGATCTCCAGTTTGAAAACCTTCTAATTTCTGTTTTAAGCCTGTAAACCACATGTACACTTTAGTTCTAGATACACAAAGAGCACAATTAATTGTTTTGTTGTACTACAGTTTTCCAAAGCATACCGATAATAAACACATATTTGGACAAAAATGTCAAGACATTGCTTTTAGCACCCTTCACCTTTTTTATCTGAAACCACATACAGGCTTGTCTACACACAGATATGGGCTGATGCAGTAAACCACTGACATGTTAAGATCACAGACGTATCTGCAGCAAATTCATAACCCTGCCTTCCAAAAATCAGAAATGCAACTGGCAGTAGCATAATCCATGACAGCTTTGGGGCCTTTTACAAAAGTCTCCCACTCAGTAAAGAGCACCATAGCAACAACATCAGGGTCCATTTGCTTAATGGCACTGCATTCCACAGGGAAACAAGCTCATTTCCCTAACTACAACAATTCTTTATACAACCGAGGGCGTATCAGCCCCAAGCGTTTGAACTTACAGTATGAAGCATGAACATTGAAAACAGCAGCAAATATTTTACCAAAACTCAAGCCACTCCTTCACATCAATATCATCACAGATATGTGGCCGCCAGCAATTCATCCGTTCATTAAAAATATTACTGCCTGTATGACAGTTTTGGGTCATGTTTCAACACACTATTTACTGTTTGGCAATGCGGTGAGAAATTCTTTTGCTTCTGGTTGATTTAGTTTGTGGAATGTGGTTTGGGACCCTTCAAAATGAGAAAACAACAACAACATGCTGCAGGCTTCTTCTTGGGAGTTATGTTATGAAAAGATACAATCATAGTCAGTATATAAGAGCTTTACACTGTAATTTTTCTATGGATATGTGACAAAAAAAACAAGCAATCATAAAAAAGGAGAAACAAATTCACCCTGTAGCATATCTGCTATGAGAGTCATCCACACACATTTATAAAACTAGCACATATTATACACATTTTTTTGACTCTCTGTTGTCACCCTTTATTCATTTTATGCTTGAGATAGAGTATAAATGTGGTTGAGGTTAAATACAATACAGTTTATAAATTGATAATAGATTTGATGGAAGTAAATGAAATTAGTTGATTTATTAGTTTAATAGCTATAGATATGTAGAATTGGCTCTTACCATCTCCATTTTAAGTTTTCGGATCTTCTCATCCAGGCCCTTCTTCTCTGTCTCATTATTGTCTGTCTGTTGATGAGAGATCATTTTGTGCTCTTCTCTCATCCACTTCAGGAGCCCCTCTGGGGTCTTTCTCCCCACTTTCAACTCCAGATCCTTTAAATCTGGTACTGATTCACAGGTATTGCTCTCCTCCATGATTATAAAAAGGATCTATTTAAAAGAAAAGAGGGGAAAAGGAAAGCCAATTGCTTTGGATTAAAAAAAATTTAGCTCCTTGACTAAGTTATGGAGCATCCCACTGATATACAGTATTACGCCTAAAAAAATCTCACGCAACACCCTGTGATTATTTGTAAACATATAACAGTCATTCAGTATTATTGCTGAAATCCGCTTATGTCTGGTCCAAAAAAACAAAACAAAATACACACGTCACATGCGTCAACTGAGCTGAACGCATCATCACACACGAGAGTGTCATACCTGATTAATATTCTAAACATTCACACGACTGTTTTCTGTCCCAAACGCAGCCTGTGTGATCTCCTTCAGTGGGAAAGACAGACCACCTGAGCATGATGCGAGTCTCTCTGAAGATCGTCGTTCAAATGTATCCGATCTGCGTGCTGTTCAAACTCCTCGGCTGTGCTGATGATGCCATGACTGTGATGAGGTAAATTGTGGATGTGATGCTCGGAGATGAAGTCAGGTTTGGAGAGGAGCTCTCTTCAAACTGAATGTCTATCCTGATGTGCTTGAATCACACGGCTGCTGGACTGAATTCCACCTGCATGACAGCGAGCGGAGCGCAGAAGTTCACTGCCGTATACAACGGAGTAAACGCGACCGTAGAAATTCACTCCCACAAGTTAACCTGGTAATAGGCCTGCTTTATAAAATAGTCCTTTGTTATACCTATATACAGGTGCATCTCAATAAATTAGAATGTCGTGGAAAAGTTAATTTATTGCAATTGTAATTAATCACAGTTACACTTCATTTAAAGTGTTCTTGTTACAGTGTAATTATACATTTAAGTAGGCCTACTGAGTAATATTAATTGACAACATGTAGGCCTACTTGGTTAGGGTTAGTTAGTTGCATGTAATTATGGATAATTTGCTGTTATTGATATACAGTACATGTAACAAGGACACTGTAAAATGAAGTGTTACCTTAATCACTATAATAGCTAGCTAATAACAATAAGTAGGCTAATGACAAACAGCTTTACAAAATGTATTTAATCCAAATATTTTGAATATGAATATGTATTTTAACTATAAACTATATTTAAGATCTAGCCATATTTCCATGAAAATTTCCTTCATGTGAATCTGAATTTGATATGTGCCCTGGAAACACATGAAAACGAGAAACTAAACTGTCATATTCTTAAGCAAAAAGATGAAAAACTAACTGTACAGAACACAATGTCTGCATTAAATAATGTATGTGCAAAATGATTATTTTGAGAAGTTTCTCTTCAGACTGGAACTGTTGAATATCAAGCACCACACTGTCTGCTAAACACATCTTAGACTGACATTTAATATGTTTCCACTAAAATCCTATCCGTAATCTGCTTGCCAACCAAGTCAGAACAGTAAATGGTGAGTTGACAGTATGTTTCCATATAATGAAAAAAGTTGTGGCCTGTACTGCACATTACCACATGGCTGATATGCATGGTCTGTTTTTTGTGTAGTTACATATAGAAATTAAACGCAGATTTAGACAAGAAGTATGAGTCCTTATTCTATCCTGTGTCACGCTTATGTTCTCTCAGGGCCAAGACTATGTCAAGATGACATCATTAAACATCTGCTGGCTGCACAATGAGGATCCCACTGTTATAGTCATCAGAGACAAAACAGAACAGGAGTGTGATGAGAACAACCTCACACAACAGACCCATATCTCCAGTCTGAGGTAATAATAAAAGTGTCACTGTTCATTCATTTACTTTAAAATGGGAGCTTAATATATAGGCCTAGCATTGAAATTTCTCTTGTCACGAAGGGGACCTATTACCAGCCAGATGGTATTATGAAAATATTAAAAATATAAATAAGATATTCATGCATATTAATTGACAACATGTAGGCCTACTTGGTTAGGGTTAGTTAGTTGCATGTAATTATGGATAATTTGCTGTTATTGATATACAGTACATGTAACAAGGACACTGTAAAATGAAGTGTTACCTTAATCACTATAATAGCTAGCTAATAACAATAAGTAGGCTAATGACAAACAGCTTTACAAAATGTATTTAATCCAAATATTTTGAATATGAATATGTATTTTAACTATAAACTATATTTAAGATCTAGCCATATTTCCATGAAAATTTCCTTCATGTGAATCTGAATTTGATATGTGCCCTGGAAACACATGAAAACGAGAAACTAAACTGTCATATTCTTAAGCAAAAAGATGAAAAACTAACTGTACAGAACACAATGTCTGCATTAAATAATGTATGTGCAAAATGATTATTTTGAGAAGTTTCTCTTCAGACTGGAACTGTTGAATATCAAGCACCACACTGTCTGCTAAACACATCTTAGACTGACATTTAATATGTTTCCACTAAAATCCTATCCGTAATCTGCTTGCCAACCAAGTCAGAACAGTAAATGGTGAGTTGACAGTATGTTTCCATATAATGAAAAAAGTTGTGGCCTGTACTGCACATTACCACATGGCTGATATGCATGGTCTGTTTTTTGTGTAGTTACATATAGAAATTAAACGCAGATTTAGACAAGAAGTATGAGTCCTTATTCTATCCTGTGTCACGCTTATGTTCTCTCAGGGCCAAGACTATGTCAAGATGACATCATTAAACATCTGCTGGCTGCACAATGAGGATCCCACTGTTATAGTCATCAGAGACAAAACAGAACAGGAGTGTGATGAGAACAACCTCACACAACAGACCCATATCTCCAGTCTGAGGTAATCATAAAAGTGTCACTGTTCATTCATTTACTTTAAAATGGGAGCTTAATATATAGGCCTAGCATTGAAATTTCTCTTGTCACGAAGGGGACCTATTACCAGCCAGATGGTATTATGAAAATATTAAAAATATAAATAAGATATTCATGCATACTCCTCCAATTGATATTTTTGAAATGATGAGCAACACTGAGAATTTCAGACATTCAGAAGATTTGTATCAACCTGAAACTGTTTTCATGTAATTTAAGACCCACAGTTCCTGTGTGCATCATGTCACTTGTTTTTTGTATGCTCTCCATATTAAGAGAAAGGATTCATTCTAGTGGTCATAATGGAAATTACATCTAAAATGGAAATTATGAACTGACTCTGTAAAACTTTTATGTAGAATTGTGTTGGTTGAAAAGATCAAGGTGATTATTTCATATAGGCTACCGTATCTGAATATTTTAGAAGTTATATGTAGAAGTTTTTTAAAGCACAAAGTCATCATTTACTCACTGCATGTGACATTAAAAAATAAATCTAAAGCATCAATAACTAATACATATTATATATATATATATATATATATATATAAAGCTCAGTTGGTTGTACAAGTCATTTCAACTAGAATTACATTAAACCAGCTTTAAAAATCAAGATGAATTTCACATAACTTTTTAAACAAACAAACAAACAAAAAATCCTCAACTTATTCTGATGAGTTAGAGTAATGTAAAAACAAAAGTTTGAATGACTTACTGATAATATAATTTTTATATATCCATTTTTGGGTAAACAACCCTCTTAAGGTCAGGAAGAGTTAAAGTAATAATTATCTGATAATAATTATCTATATTCAAGAGCACTCAAACCAGTTCAGATTACTCAGGACTCAAGAGAATAATAATAAAGGAAATCTGTATCAAAATACTCATCAGAACACATGAACTTCCTCACGTCTGGTGACATTTATCTCACTCTAAATAACTTTTTTTTCACACACACACAGATCAAAAAGCTGTGATATAGAAATAGCACTACACAATGCATTTTACTTGTTATTTTACATGCAGAGGATTGCATTTCTATCACAACTGGCAGTATTTAAAGTGGTGTTCTGTTTGGCCGATTCATGGCTAATGGCAAACCCTATATGACACCAAGGTGTGCCACTCAAATTCAGAAAGCAAGACTCATTCTTTACACAGCTCCTGACGCAAACGCCCATGTTGTCCTTTGAAATTAACATAGTTAATGTAAAAACCACAATGTTGGGGTGGAGAAACCTGTTACAGGAAGCAAGAAAGCACATGTTTAACATCTTTCCTTACTCATGTCTCATTTATCCTTCTCTTCAAACCTGTATTTCCTGTCCCCCATATAAGTTGTTCTGTCTTAGTCAGGCATTGTCAGTAAGTGTGTGGGAGACAATGGAGGACAGCACAGAAGAAGACATCGAGTCTCTGATTGAGGGGATGGCCTACATCCCTGGCCACTTTCATTTGGAGCTCAATCTGAACGGTGAACCCAACGGACCAGTCAGCCTTCGGCACCGGGACACCCAGCTTAAGCGCGAGAGCCTCAGGGCTGAGCTTGAAGCTGAGACGGGATGACTGCAGTATGCTGTGCGCAATATGATGGGCCTGCTGGCCTTTCATGTAGATGAACTGGAGACGGCAGAAGAGGCCTTCCACAGCATCTGCCAAGAGGATCCAGAAAACCTTAATGCCTGGGCCAACCTGGGTTACGTATATGAACGCCTAGGTCATGAGCTGGAGGAGGGGGAGTGTGTTGAGCGTGTGGCTGCCCTTATGGGCCCAGAGATGGGGGAGAACCAGACAGACTGCAGGCTCAGGGTAGCATGGTGCTTGGCTGAACAGGCATACGCACATCCTCATGATGTGGAGCTGGAGAGGGACGAAGATTTACAGGAGAAACTGACATCCGCTCTGATGTTATACAACCGCGCACTCGGATAACGGAGAGGAACTGGTGAGCACTTCACAAATTCTTATGTACAGGAAGATAGTTCATACAGTACATATCATTATGTTTTGGGGGAGTTATACCATGTGATATTTTATAATTAAACTAGGCTTGTTATAAAAAGGTCAAATTTTCTGAAATTTTGAGGCTTATTGACTTTGATATCTGGTCATGAGGGTCCGCTGGGGTCTTTTTTTTTAAACTAAAAGTTTTTCAAATATTAATAACCAGTGAAGTACTTTTATTACAATATTATTATAGCAAACAACTTTTTTACACCTTTTCTACGTTGATATCAGCTTTTGACATTTTTGACACCCGAAACATTTTGGAATAATTTTTTATTCAAGTCATCGTTTTTATTTGTCAGTTTATATGAATTGCATTTTTTTTGTGTTTTTGAATGAGTTATGAATTAGTAGATATAAATAACCATATTTCGTTAAGTTTAAACTTTAGTTGACGCATTTCCTTTAACCCTCAAACAAAACACAATACAATGCAAAATTCAAAATACGAGGAAAACACCTGTAATAACAAGGAAAGGAAAATCCCTTCGTATTAAAACAGTGCATTGTTGTGTTATGTTGATTTATTTCTTACAGATACCAATAGAGGAAAAAAGAAGTTGGTATTTCAAAATGGCAACAATTTACATAAGGTATTTACATAAGTATTTTTCACACTTACCTGTTCATCTTAATTTTTAACACATCATCAAACATCTGACTACCTATCTAAACATTTGAATAAGCCATTACTTATCATAAACCAAAACAATAATAGGTTGATCTTAACCTTTGTTTGTTTTAATAGGTTAGATGGAATTGTAAGGGATTCAAAAGACACTGACCTCACAAGACTG